TGGCTCCTGACGCCTGGTGTGAAGGCAAACACACACAAGATTACATGAGATTCTCTGCACTCACACACACACACTCACGCACAAACACACAAAAACATATATGCACGCATGCTCACACACACAAATTCATCATCACAATCAAAGTTAGAAAGCTACCACACTTGAAGTTTTAAAAGCATTTTAAAATTTAGAAAACATTTTACTTTAACCCCACTTATTTGCATTCATAGACAGCTTATAAGCATTTAAAATGCTATATGCTATGCTATGCTATAATGTAATTGTAAGAAGTTTAAAGGGTTTATTTATGTGTTTGTCAATGCCTGTAACTCCTCTTATGAGCACCTGTAGGAATGACAATCTAGTAAAACACAGTTATAATAACATAAAATATGTCTTAATCTCTCTCTATGTATATTTGTGATATTCCACTTAGTCTATTTATATAAACCATTTTATACAGTCTATGTATTTTAATGATTACTTTTAAAACTTTAAGTACATTTTGGTGATGATACTTTTATACTTTTTGTTGCTCCTAGATCTCAGTACTTCTTCCATCGCTGTTCACCACTGACTTTTTCACATAAAGATATATGCTGCCATCTTGTGGATAACTTGCAAGGTAACCATAGTGTAAGTAGCTTTTGATTTTGAGGTACTTATACTCAAGGGTGTTACTTTGTGTCAAAAAGTGGTGGGGACATAAGGGCTCAGATTAGGGGTGTGATGATACACTGTGAGAAGTGACGATGCACGAGAAGATGAGAAGATTTTTTCTGCTCCAATTTATGGTGGCAATGTCTGTATTTATATAAAGTCAAACAAAAAATTCAGCTGGCAGGTGACAATTCATAAACAGAATTTAATGCAGTGATCAGCTGCATGTTTTAGCTTAAGTTACTTTTTTTGGACAATGCACATTTGAGCATTTTCATTTGTTAGATACCTTTTTTGGTGCAAGCTATTATACAGAACACTTTAAAAAATGCTTTCAAAAAGTGATGGGGACAAAATCAGCTATTTAAAAAAGTGGTGGGGACATGGGGTCCCCAGTGTCAATGCCACCTATGCTTATACTTTATTTTAAGTGTTTAAATGTTCTGTTTTATTGTACACCAACTCTGAGCTGAAAAGATGTGAGGCTGCAATATGCAGATGTTTAGTAGAACATAATGAATCCTGAATGATGTTTTGCCCCTTTGATCACATCACATTACTCAATGGTGCAATTAAGACTGTAATTAATAATAGATTAACAATCCAGTGGCAGACAGTATGAGACACTTGCTTTAAATGAATTTAGCAAAATAGAAAAAGAGCATAAAACTGTAATTACTCACATCAATCAAAAATGTGATTGAACAAAACCTCTGGGGCATAAACACACACACACAGATTTTTCAGCCATTGGCCTGTCAATGCCCTCGCCTGCCAGCTCCAGACAGGCAATGTGTTCCAGATTAGATCAAACTCCAGGTTGCCCATTTCGATTCTAAAAGCAGCTGTACGACACTCTGTTACCATGACGACACTCAGTCTGGTCTGAGGTCTGCAGACATAAAAATAGACAGGGAGGTTGTGGTTCAGTTCAGGACTTGCTGAGATGATAGTGGGCAGCAGACAATCAAAAAAAGAGCATGATTACACCACAGCCATTAGGCGGCTGGAGTATCTGGCATGGTGCACTGGCCCTTAATCAAACTATGATGATAAACAAGCAAACCTTGAACCCAAACTTTTCTGACGTTTTGGTTTGTGTCTGCAGCCTTCACGGTTCATAGTTCGATTGTTGTGACAGGGGTGAAACAGGGGCACCTGAGTCAAAAAAAGTTGCCTTAATTCAGATCATGGATAGATTACTGAAAAGGCCTCTGGACCAGAACCTCTGCATGAAGTCAATCAAACAACTACAAAGAGACACAAAAGGACAACAAAGAGATGTAAAGCGACCGCAAAGAGAAGCAAAATGATCATAAGGTGATGTGAAATAACCACAAACACATGCAAAACAACCACAAAGAGATGGAAAGCGACCAAAAGAGACACAAAACAGCCTCAAAGACATGCAAAATTACCACAAAGGGATGTAAAATGACAACAAAGAGACGCAAACCGACCATAAAGAGACATAAAATAACCACAAACACATGCAAAACAACCACAAAGAGATGCAAAATGAACACAAAGATGTAAAAAGACCACAAAGATGTGAACTACAAAAAAGAGACGCAAAACAACCACAAAAAGTTGCAAAATGCAGCTGTCTAATTTGTTATTGTTTTATGTCTCTGTGAGTGCGGGCGTGTTGCTTCTACATAAACGGTATAATACTGTAACAGCAGTTATATATAGATCTTTTCTACTTTAACGGGTAAAATGCGTAACAATTTTGCCTCTCATTCACATACACACTCACACTGATAGCAGTGGAGCCGTCATGCAAGACACTGGTCTGTCTACCGGGAGCAACTCGGGGTTCAGTGCTTTGCTTGAACCGCTCTATCTCCTGAGCTAGAGCTTTTCCATGTCTGTGTCCAGGGGCCCGTTGTCTCATAATCTGATAGTGTCTGCAGGCTATGGATTTACAAATAGCAGCTGTTTATTGATATTAGCTGATATTAGGACATTTAAAGTTGTTTATTTAGCATGAATTCATTACTCTAAATAAATAATGTAACCATTAATAATGTACAATTTCTCATTGCCAAGAGCCAGTGCATCCCCCCATCCCTCCATTTAAAGGTTTCTAAACCTGGGCCTGGAATGAAAGGTCATGTGTTGACAGGCAAATGTGATTGCCTGTGTAATCAAAACCTCATGCACTGTTGCTCGAATCAGAGCAATGCAGTCTCAATCTCCTTCCAAGTAGCAATGAAGTGTTATTGACTAGCTGTCAATGTGGAAGGAGAGCTATATGCTCGAACCAATGAGGCAGATCAACCGTGGGAGTTCAGCCATACAGGTCTGACTGTTGTTTAATGGTGCAAATTTGCAACTGAAATTTTTGTCTCTTAACTTTTAACTGCGGTTTTGTGCAACAGTTATCTTCAGATTGGTTCAGCATCTTGATATTAGTTCTGCTGACACAGTCTCTGTTTTTACATCTCAACAAAAAAACAACCTTTATTAAAAAACACTTCCTTCACAGTATTTTGGAATTTTATCTGTTTTTTTTTTTTTTTTTTTTTTCTCTTTTTATTTATTAGCAGCATTTATATAGCAGCATTTGGAAAACTTTTATATAAATAAAGTATTTTATATTACAAAATTGTAGTGGTAAGTACTTTTTCCAGGAGAGATGTGGATAGTTACACTTTAAAATACAGGCAAATTACAGTAGAAGTTTTTTGTACGAAATACTGATACATCAGTGAGGTACAAGGAAAGAAGTAAATAATTACAGGGTACAGACCAACATGCTTAGTGAAAAGTTAGTTAGTGTTTATTTCTGTGTCATGCCCAGCATTTGAAACCCAGCTATTTATCAAAAATATAAAACATTAACCTTTCAATCCACATATACAAAAATCAGTAACAACATTAAATGTACTTATATACTATATATACTATTTTTTCATATCTGAACAACCAACTCAGTTTTTGTGCATCATCCACATTTTTAATATCAGTTTCTGTTTTTATCTTACAAACAACGTAATGGACAGTTCTCAGTAAAAAGAGCAATAGAAAACAAAATGGATATGTCAAATCTACATATCCTTTTTACAATAGTTATGTCATGACCTACTAGACCTTAAAACATAAGAGAAACAAAAATGCTACCCATTCCTACAGATCCCAGGGCTGCTAAAGTTACATGCAAAATGCTATTTACAATTTTCTATGCCACAGTAGGCAGACAGGCGGGAAGCCGAGCGAGTAAAGCCTGCAGGAGCCGCGGCAAGTCAACCTTTAAGCCTGTGGCCTGAACCAATCAGCTTCCTGGAATTAACTATAGACTTACCTATAGAGCCACCACAGCTGGTTCACCAGAGAGAGCGATCCACAAGCACACACAGATGGATTTAAAGCTCATAATATAAACAAATATAAAAAACACAATGTCACTGTGTGTATAGACTTTGTGCTGTATGCTGTTAAAAAATACAATAAAGTTTCAAACTAATTTCACTGCAATTTTTATGCCGATAATTCACCTATTTCAAGTACCACACTACAGTACAGATTTTAGGTACTTATATAATTACCTCAATATATAAATTTTTACTTCAATACAATAACTTGACAGGTTAAGTTCCTTCACAAATTTGAATTTTTGCATTCAAAACGTACAAAGAGCTTATCAAATACTGTAGCGTCCCTCAATAAGAAGCTATCAGATGCTATGTCACCCAGTCCGTTACAATATGATGTTTTGTTATAAACTACCCAAAAGTCAGTTGCAATATTATATAGTACAGATATATAGATGTAACAGTTAGTTGATTAACTGATTTGTTATGATTCGTTAACTGATTCGTTCAAAATGAGCTCCAAGTCAACCAACTACAGTGAAATCCTGCTTTAACAATAATGCGTGAATAATAATACTCTAATGATATAATACATAACAGTATAATAGTCACAGGAGCCATTTTTCTGCATGGAGTACTTTTACTTTTAATACTTTTAGTACATTTTCCTGATTATACTTACATATTTTTACTTATTAAGATTTTCAACGCAGGGCTTTTTCTTGCAACAGAGTATTTTTTACAGTCTGATATTAGTACCTTTACTTAAGTAAATGATCTGAATACTTCTTTTAACACTGATTGATAAAACTGTTTGGTTGTGTTCTGTCGGCGCTATAATCCCGGCTTACATGCCCGAGACTGTGTGTACAACACGTACAACAAGCACAAATGCACAAAGTGAGTGGAGCACATTCACTTTTCGAGGACAGAGAGGGGTAAGAGGCACAAGGCTCCTCCCTGAGAGTTTGTGAAAACATTCCAGCAAAGTGAGTGCGGTCAAAGAATTGGAAACTCACAGAGTGGCCTCTTACTCCCTCTATCCTCCTCACCTTTTTTTTTGTACATGTACTTACACTGTATACAAGTGCTTATAGGTTGTGTGAAGCTCTTAGGACGATTCTGCAGGGGAACACATCAAGGTGGGAAACCTGAGGAATCCTTTAAAATCTGCACAAATAAACTCTGCTGTCCCATTGATCGGCTCACAATGAAGCTGGTGTTTGTCCTCCTTGTATCCACTGCCTGGACTTTCACTGGAGCCCAGTATTACTACCAGGGGCTGATGGATTATCTGGAGAACAGGTTGTTGGCTATTGAGGTAAGAAGCAATACCCCTTTAAATGACTGATGATTAGTCAATATACTGTAGTTTTTGATGTGTTAAGTGAAGACACAGATCACTCTGAAGTCAACAATTTGAACAACCAGTTGATATGTCTGAGTTCCTTATGGCCTCGTCCTACTCTTTTCATATGAATTTAACGTTAACTAATACAGTCCAATTAATGCAATCTCTTCCCAGCTCATCAACTTTGCAGGGGCCTCTGGGGGAGTATCAGTTGATGCATGCAGCACACAGTTTCTGTCCGACATTACAATTTATTCTGGCTTTAAGACAATGACACATCAGTAATGAGTACAAGCTCAACCTTTGCTGCCATGGCACCAAACATCCCAACCTCCTAATAGAAAGATGTGTTCTTCAAAGGTAAAATTATGCTGTATTACAACAAAGTGCCTGGGGGAAGGATTTAAATTACTGAGAGTTCAGTATTGTGTTTTCAAGGGATGTTATGATACAGCAAAGTTTTTGTAAGGGGAGACTTTTGTTGGCTTAAGGTGCGTGTGATAGGAAATGCAAGAGGATTACGTCTGGTAATCTCAGTGAACTATCATTTAAATAATTCTTTTGATGTATTCTTTTGGGGTACATTTTCAGTGTCTTCAACCGTGTGGCTGCAAGGCAAAAATGACAATCTTGTAACTGTTATCTGCATGAAATGAATTGTCTATTTACAGCTAAATCCTGCTCTTGTGTGCTCTCCTGTGGCTTCCCCCCAGTCTCAATTCCAATATGCTGGTTCAACATCTGCATTGATGTGAACATTTCATCTGCAAGTTTTCATTGAAGTTTCATTTCCATTTGAGCACAGGCCCACAGGAAGCAAAGGAATAAAATGAAACAGAGGCGGAGGAGACAGTGGAGAAGCAGTCAGTTATTACGTCTGGCTCTGAATAATTTACCTGTCACTCTGACTGTGTCGATCACTGAGAAACCCAGTGCTTTTGTAATGGTGATAATGCTTTGATTGAAACAGCAACATTTTACTATCTAAGTTTTACTATGGAAGGCAACAAGACTAAAGGTCTACAACCATGCTAGTGGCTCTGTGAGGTTGTAGCTACTTATTAGGCACGGAGGTGATATGAGCTAAATGCCAATAGCAGTACAAGTACAATAGATATCACGTTCACCCCCTTGGTTTGGTGTGTTAACATCCTAACATTTGGTAATTAGCACTAAACACAGAGGCAGTTAGATGTAAATCAGAGTTGTTTTTGTGTCCACCTGATGAATTTAATTCCAATATTCACCTTCTTTAGCTCTGTTTTTGATCTCCACCAACTCCCGAGGGTCTCTTTAGCTGCTAAATGTTCCACTCAGTTCACCAGCTAGTCTCTAACTGTCTGTGTCTGCTGTACAGTGGGTTTTTAGGATACTAGAAAGGTCAGAGGATCACTACATTCAGCAAGCTTCATCCTCTGGAGATTGTGGCTTAAGTAGAAACCAGAAAAAAACTCATCTTACAGTTTATTTAAACACTTGTTTTGCTCTGCCAATGTCTGGTAGGACCGCATGCAGTTGTGGCATGATCAGTCCCATCGCTACCACAGAGAGCTGCAGGATTTCAAAAAGCTGACTGTTGTGGCCATGGATGGGCTGAGGAACGAGCACAGCATGCTATTCAAAGACCTTGAAGGAGCTGCAGTCCGAGTGGACAGGGTGGAGCGAGAGATGGACTATGTGGAAACCCAGACTTCCCCTCGGGCCTGTGCGAATAAGGCAGATAAGGTGGTGGAGCAGGGAGCCTGGGGGCTGGAGGAGAGCAGAGGAGAGGAAGAGGAGGAAGAAGACTGGGAGGAGCTACACTCCAGAGTCTCTGGTGAGCTGCAGGGAAGTACATGCACGTTTCAGCCAAACATCCTCCTCAGGATGGCTGCATTTGATCTTTCAGTTTTATTAATGATAGAGCCCTGGCACAGTCAGAGGAATTAGGATATATAGATTGCATGTTCTATAGTTAGTTCTATAGTATAGTTCCCCTTTGCAGAGTTGCTGTCTTGGAAAAGGCATGCCACTAGAAAATGGAAAACAAACACTGTGCTGTTACAAGTCATTTAACGAAGTGATTTGAGTCTGTGGGCAGTCATGTTTTCCAGGAGAAATGTGGGTTGCTGCAACTCATTTATTTCAGCAGCGCTACTCCCCTGTTTTTGCCGTTTGAGCACAGTGTTTGTCTTCATAATCTTCAGGTCCCAAGGCGTGCTGCTACAAACAACACTGAGATGGAACTGCTGCAGTAATTTACTTGGGTAATACAGGGACTTAAAACCATTTTAAAGCACAATGCGGAAATTTAGGAAATCACATAATTCCAGGAAACACACCAGTCTTTATATTGGCAGATTTCACTGAATATGCACATTACGTTAAACATCAAATTTTGTTTGCTCTTAACTGGTTCCAAAAGCTAAATCCTTTTGGGACCATTTAATCCAGACTCTTTATACAAATATTGATTTCTTTACTAATCTTGCTGACTTAATTAGACAATCAATAACATACATTCAAGAATTATGTAGTAATATGATAAATGCTCTGCTCAGAACCACAATGCTAGTCATGCACTACATAATCAAGGGAGATTTCACTCATTCAGGCGTTTTAATGCAAAGCGAATGTCAGTACAATGCAGAGCAAAGGCTTCTCTCATAGTTTCTGTGTTTAAAACCTCCTGTGAAATCTGGAGCTGTGTCTCTGCAGAGAGGAGGGACAGGAAGCTGCCCTGAAGCTGCACTGTTACTCTCCAAGCTCATGAGCTCTGCACACAGTGAGCCATTGTGGATGTTTGTGAAGTGACCCAAAATGAACTTTGCTGCATTGTAGGGACCCATTTCAGATTTGTGAGCATAATGTTAATTTCGCCCCAGGACACATCAGGGGGACATCCTTTGTTTGTGTATTTTACTGAAAGCATTTTTATTAATCTTCTTTTACAGAAAGCATCGTAATGCTGTCTGTGTGCTGCACTAATACTTCCTCTCATTATGAGTCTGTGTGTCCAATTTCCCCCTGACTGGTTTGCATTTACCTTAATTCGGAGAGCCAGATATTGACTGCGGCAGGCTGCTTGATGTTTTCTAAATGTTAGGTTGCAAATACACATTTCAGCTAAGGAATGTCACTTTACTGAAACATGCTAATGGAAATAATTATGGCAGCTGGGGATAGAAGTCTTAAATAATTTATTATAATTATATTAACTTAACACCTGTGAAATATCTTTAGATATTTAGATGTGTAATGTTTCACACCACAGACATGTAACCCGAGGTGCAGCATCTGGATGCAGCCACATACAGTTTTCCCATTTTGTTTTCCCTCAAGATGCTTTAAAACGCCTGAAAACTTGTTTGGAATCTTTAGTAATTCTCTATAGTATTAAATATGCATGCATGAATAAACAAAAACCAAAGTTAAAGTTAAAGCCAGATTTGATTGACAGTGGCCTGGCAGCATGGCAACTGTCATTACATTTAGGTTCAATGTTGTTAAATTTTGCTCCATGTTGTTGTTGTTGCACCATTACCTCTAAAGTCAGCCGCATATAAGTGTTATCTTTGGAAAGTTGCTAATGAAACTCATTGAATTGAGAGTAATGTTATGTGGGTTGAGGCCAATTTTCTTAATCGGCTTCTTACCACGAGTGATGTGGTTCTACATGAACATATTCTGCCAAAATAACAACAGTTTTGGTTATTTGAGAGAAGGAAATGTGACTATGTGACAAAGTAAAGCACGAGTGCAGTTAACAGTCAGTGGTGAACATGGTTATTTCTTCAATTCTCTCTTGCTACAGACTGCGTGGAAATCATCTCTGGCATCAGATCAGTGAAGATCCTGAAGAGAGTGGGCAGTCCCAAGGGCATGTGGACAAGAGACCCCAGATCTTCCAAGGTTTACGTCTTTAATGGGACATCGGGAGACAGGATCTACCAGTTCAACTCTGTACGTGACTTTTCCCGCTCTGCTGGTGTCAACAACAGCAGACAGATCATGCTTCCCTCCGAGTGGAGGGGCCCAAGCAGTGCTGTTTATAACGGTTATTTGTACTACATAAAGCAAGAGGCTGATACAGACGTGCAGGTGGTCAGATATGACCTGCTGAGAGGCTCGGTGACAGACACTGCAATGTTCCCTGTGGAGAGCCACGCTACTGTTTACAACCTCAACCCAGAGACTGTCGCCGACCTCGCAGCAGATGACGAGGGCCTCTGGCTCCTCTACGCCACAAGCGACAGTGAACCAAACATCAACCTCGCAAAGATGGACCCTGCCACGCTTGATATAGAAAATATCTGGGACACCCAGTGCCCACGGGAGAACGCAGAGGCAGCTTTTGTAGTCTGTGGCACTGTCTATGTTGTTTACAACACCCGCCTGGCCAGCCGGTCCCGGGTTCAGTGCGTGTTTGACGTTAACGACATGGTGATCAGTGAGGAGGCTCCCCTGCTCTACTTTCCCAGGCGGTACGGAGCCCATGCCAGTCTGAAATACAACCCAGAGGAGAAACAGCTCTATGGCTGGGACGATGGCTACCAAATCATTTACAGACTGACCATGAAGAGGAAACTCCTGGTTTGACAGCTGGGATGTGGTGTCATGTTTTCAAAGGCAAGGATAAAAAATAGGAGCAGTAGCCTACATTAGTCAAAGTCTTTCAGTAGCCTGCAGACTCTTCACTCATGGTAGCTTTAATAAAGATCACCCACATCACAAATTTTTAAGCAAATTAATTAGCTTTTGAACTATTATTTATTAATTGGATCCTTTCCTTATGTGTGTAATAAACATAATCAAAAGAAAAACATGAAAATACCACTCAGTTTATTAGGGGTTGTCATACTTACTGCTATGCATTGTGTGTGTCCTGCCCTCATTTAATTTGACCACCTGATTTAGACGAAAACTCACTTCCTTTGTTCCCATTCCCACTTGTTAGGCCACCGGCTGAGTTGTCAATATAAGCTGTGTGTTGCCACCACAACAAAATTCACAGCACAGACCCCAATTTGCACAAGTCTTTTAATCAAAGAATAGAAAATCATGTCACAGAACTGATAACACGTCACATCCCATGGGAGAAAAAAAAACAACTCTTTTCTGCTGTTGATTTTCAGACTTGTCCAAACAAAAGAATGACAATTTGTAGCGGAAATACTTTATGCTATTTCTGTTTACTTTAGTACACACTGGGTCACTCGTTTTTGTGAGTCTTGATGATGATCTAAAATCTAAAAGGAACTTATATTAGACTTTTTGTCTTAAGTAACAACTGTTGATATCAATCACCAGAACATTTTCTCAAACATTTCTATTATTACAAATACAAAATGTTCAATAAAAAATTGGAAATTCAGTGCTATCATAACAGTTGGAAGGGATACAAGATCATATCAAGAAACGTTACAATATTAGGCAAACTAGAAGGGCTTGAAACAGTCCATAAACTGAGGCAATTGATTTAACAGGTTTCTTCTAAAACATACCACGTTGTCAGAGAAATATATGACCATTTTAAAGCACATGTTTAAAAAAATGAAGAACAGAAACTATGTTATTATTCAAGCACTTGTTTCAAATTTTACACTAAAATAAGAGATTGGAAATCTATCATTAATACCTTTAGTCTAGAGAGGATTTTCATCATCACAACAACTGTGTGAATGAGAGCAAATTTCAAACAGTCACATTTGTGGAGGGGTGTTGATGCTATGGTGAATACGTCAAGAATGGACAATAAAGCTCTGACTCATTCTCGCTACAGCAAGTGCCAATTAGAGAAATGCTACTGCTCTGTAGACGCTGACCTGTCCACCCATCAGCTGCCCCCGCGCTGTTTGGAGGGACTAAACAGCTCGCTCTGGGTAACAGTACCCATGACGGAAATGGCTAAAACAGATCCAGATAGGCCTGCTGAATGCATCTGCTCATGTCTTGATGTCTGGCCCCCATTTTTTAAACTCTGTGATTTATGGCATGTTCGTTGTACTGTAGCCTGAAACTGAGTCCTGCTGCTTGTCCTCTATTGCTGAATGAGGCACCAGCAGTCTAGACCAGTCTAAGTCACTGCCAAGAACATTATTGCATATCAGATTAAAATTGCTGTGGGCTGCTGTTCAGATAATGCGGATGCTATTCAATCAATTTTCCTCATATCGAAAAGAAATGATCGGAACAAGCCTCACCAAATATGATCTGTGAATGTTTCCTGGCAGTTTTCCTGCCTGATATAAAACTGACTCCATAGCTTAACATTTCCTGACCCAAATGTACTGATGGTATCTGTGCATGCCAATTACAGCACAACAAAACTTCTTCTACTAGAGGATAAACCTGAAACTGAAAGCAGCGGGGAAGAAAACTGCCACAATGTCATGATAGCTTATGTATGGATATTTTCATTGTTTAGAAATAAAGCAACTTGCTGGAAACCAGTAAAACTATTGTCCATCCTTGGATTTTCAAAATAGTTTTACACACATAGACTATTGGCTCTGTCAAGCTAATATAACACTGCAGTGAGAACCATTAATGGTAGCTGTTATAGCGTGAACCCAAACTACACAAAGTCAGCTTTTGTAGGCAGTGAAAAACGAGTGAAAATTCAAAGAAGCGTTTCGGCTGAGGTGAATCGATCATGACGTTCACGAGACATGTGACTTTGCTCCACTAAAAAGACAAAAGATTTCAGCAGACAATGAGATTCCTCAAATTAATACATGAAACACACAATCATGCCATATTTCCATCATGTTTTCAACATGTTTTTTTGCCCTTTTTGAGATTTGACTGGTGCCATTCTGCAATGATTTATAGCACCTGACTGGAAAGCGTTCCAGTTGTTTTTCTCAAAGTACTAACTTCTAAGGTAATAGAAATAAGGTAGTGGATGGAAACATTCATTTCCATTGTGTTTTGTCAATTTTGTGAAAATTTGTACTATGTTTGGATGGACTCCTGGCCAGTAATAGTATGAGCTGTCTCACTGTAAGTAAGTGTTCTTCCTCACCAGCTTCTGTGCAAAATTATCCACCAGCTTGTAAAAATCCAGGGCTCTGACCAGAATGCTCCATGTTAATAGCTAATTATGTACTCTGAGCTGAAAGGAAGGTTTCCTTCTTGGGATATAGAACATTTTCCATGCAGTACGTTTGCAATTTGTGCATTGTATGGCCCAAAAACTACGTACATGTCCAGATGATCTCCTCATAAGCTCTCAGTCATTAGTCACATATTCTACCGCCGTGTGCATGTGCATCTCAATGCTCAATGCTTGGAAACCCATCTATTACTAAGTCAAAACTACTACTACTGGAGGGTATATTACCACTAAATTTATATTTTTTTCTCACGACAAAGCAATATGGGACCCTCCATTACATAATATTTTAAAAATAAAACCATAGGTGCATTAATGTGTTTCACCAATTACAGAACCAGTTATAGGACAGTGATCCAAGCTGGAGTTTTGTGCATATTTTATCTGGCTAAGTTATTGTAAAGTGAGCAAATACTATGCAGGGGCCCATTAAAGGAATTACACAAATGCAAAGGAAAGTGATATAACAGCTGTGCTGTAGTCTTTTCTTGATCACATCAAATAATATAATATATATAAAAAAATAATCCATTTACCACATGTTGCAGATCAAGCGTCTGGATGGCAAATGCAAAGACATGGTCTCCCTGTACAACAGTATGATCAATGACAGGATAAACATCAATAAAGTTGCATGTTACTTAGTTCAAAAGACAAATAATTTCACCAATTTCAGAGTTTAGGTTTTTCTCAATCACCACCAACAAGACTACATATATTCAAAATGTCAGTAATTTTTCTTTATCGATACGTATCTTTGTAGATTTTCTGGTTTTCTGTTTAGAGAAACAAAACATACATAAAGTAACCTGCAGACGGCTACACATGAAACTATACACATCCACCAAAAACCTGTTCAGAAAACGAACAAGAGGATACAAAGAAGTGGTTTTCAAAAAGTGTTTTTGTGAAGCACAGCATTTGTGTGAGTTTTCATTTTGGAAGAAAGGTTTGCGAACATCAAATGGAGAAGAAGGTGGTGGTGGTGGTGGTGGTGGTGGGTGGGGGGGGGGGTGTAAAATGTGCTCATAATTTCCCTGTTTACAGAAACCTCCAGAGCTCCCTTGACAAAAAGCTTGGTTCTATTTTGTTACTGTCTTTTTCAAAATATTGTCCTTTGGCTTGGTTTTTGGTTAGTGTGTTCAATAAGCCACTTGTGCCTTTGTCAGGTAATTTTAATTCTTCTTCTATCGAAAATTGATAGAGATAGAAAACAAGAATTTTTTTAGCAGTTATAACACTGCAGCCCAATTTGATCTCATGTGAATGCTAATACTCCTGTTTTTTCTTCTTCTTTCTACACAAAACCTCTTGTCTTGGCTGATTGTGAAAACACACTAAAGCTGCAATTTTCCAAGCTGAGAATATTTCAGTTTCAGCCTAATCCAACCTCTCCTCAATAAGTCAATAATTGCTTATGTTATTGATGAAACTGGAAGTACAGCAAACTCAGCTGCAGCTTTGAAATTTATTTCACTTTTACTATACACAAACAATAACAACTAATGGAGCGGTTTTACATCTAATAGTTCCAAAATGCTACAGTTCAGTATTGTTTTTATGGTAATACAGCACTGTGAAATTCAATAAGAGAGAGAGCTGTAGAGTTTTGAAATTGCCTCAGATCCCGTTAAAGATCGTCTCTTTTTCTACCCCAGCTGAGTCTTCAGCTTCCCTTTTTGAAACTTCCGCCGATCTCAGGGAGCGATATCCAACTGAGTTTTTCCATCAAAGAGCCTCTACCAGCACAAAGCTGAATCTTCAGCTATTTGGAAAGTCTCCTGTGAGGACACCAAGCTCACCTCAGCTCGGTCAGCTCAATATTAGAACTCTGCAGACTAGAGGTCCAGCAAATCTCTTCTGATGACAACAAAGGCAGCACTGGGTCATCACAACACCCACATTTCAAATCAGTGACCCTAAAACTTTAACCCGAAAAGACAGCGCTTCACACAACTAACTGACTGACGGTGGTCTTAGATCAGTTCTTGGGAGTGCTCTGGGACTAGACTTGAGGAAGGGAGGGACGGAGAGAGAAAGAGAGAGGGAGATACAGTGGGGTTGTGTTTCTCCTCAATCAGACAGACAGGAAGTGGATCAGCAGGAGGGAGGAAACCCCCTTCTGGGCTGGTGGGTCACAGGTGGCTCTGTTCAGGGACTAGCAGGGGGCCTGGGTGAGGGGCAGGAACCTTGGCTGTCAAAGCTGGCTGTCCTCGCCTTCCACTGCAGGACACACAGACACAAGGAAATGATTCATAGCAAATTTTTACAGCATGTCACTCTCATGTTACTTTCAACGCAGGGCAAATATCTGTATAGAGAGGAGTATCAGTGTTCCAGGAATATAAGAGCAATGTGGGGTTTTTTTGTTTTGTGACCAGCCTTTCCATTTATTTCATTTTCCCATTAAGTTTGGTGAGGATGTAGGAAAATAACAAGGAACATGGGCTCAATCATTATTATCTGACAAGATAAAAATATATAACAAAAATGATAAAATATTACATTCACATACGGTGTGAATGTTACGTGTTAATGTGACTGTGAATGGTTGATTGTCTCTATATGTCAGCCGCGTGATGAACTGGCGACCTGTAGTTATAGATGATGGATGGAAAATAAAATATATAATATAATATGCTATAATACAAAATAATAATAAATATATGTACAGTATACAGTACATATATTCTAAAAATTGAATGTAATAAAAAATAAAATGTAATAAAACAATGTTGACACACAAAAAAAATAACTTTAATGGATTTTGCCTGTTTGGAGGATAGTCATGCTTTATGCTATGAATGCACAATCCCCATAATGCTTTGGGGGATGTAAACATGAAGTTTATTGCCATGGAATCAGTGAGTTACGCTGGAGACCTATTTTAGCCGAGATATTTGTCAGTTCCCATTTGCAAATGCACACATGGATCTACAGACAACTATCAATGGATAACTGTAATAGGCTACTGAAGAAAACAGGCAGTTTCTAGACTCATAACGAGGTCTTTTTTCGGTTATCTTTATGCGGATTCATGCAAGAATTATATCTTCAGAAAGAATAACTGTGCATTCATGTGGTGTCAGAATAAGAAAGATTTTAGATTGATAAGAAATTATTTCCCTACTGGGAAAATTTACATGAACTCCCCCTGAAGTTGGAAAAACAAGTGGGAAAGTTTAAGAAAATATTGGTACAGTTTGGTCGAGTTGTTGTCACATACATGTAGAAACATGGCAGACAAAATGGTTGATGGTTATAAACTTTTGAAACAAGATGGTTTGTTTGCTATCCATGTAGAGTGGCCTAGATGTCTCTGTGTTGTTTATACGCTCTGAAATTGCTAACCCAACAACTCTTTGTAGTAGTGTCCATGTTGTTTCCACATGGAAACAAGAAGCACACTTGGGAAATGGGACTATCCGAGGAGCCTGTGAATGCACAATAAGTCACACAACATTGAAATATGTGTATCATGTCTGTGTGTTCACATTGACTGAGTTATGATTCTGAGAAGGAGTCCGATTTTTCACGCAAGTATATTAATTGCCTCTATGAGCTGTTTGTCAGCCAATGTGAACTGCTGACAGTGTCAGTAAGCGGGCCAAATACACAAATTACCACCAGCTGTTTTCAGAACACCTGCTTGTATCTGTCCCTTTAACCTCATGTAGTATTTGTTGCCTCATGTCTCCCTCTATAACCCCACCCCCAATCCCCTCAAACTCTCCCCTCACAGTGCCCTAGAGCAAAGGTTTCAAATTGTGGGAGTGGAGAATTTCCAGTTAAGCCCCCGATTCCTCATTCTAAATCATGAACATGTACAGAATAATCCTTGAAAAATGACTCCACCCTCAAACCTACCTCCTTCTCAGATTTCTTGGACTCCAGCAGGGGGTGCCAGTGTGCAATGGGCTTGCGTGGGTAAGCCAGCATTTCGTTCCAGTGGTCCCTGCCAAGTCCCTCGGCATGGCACCCAACCCTCATCACACCAATGATCTCATTATGACCTACCCTGTGGGAGCACACACATAATGCATAAAGTCTGACTTAACACGACATCTCATACATGAAATTGTTGCTGATAATTGCAAAAGGGGCATTTTGTAAAGAAAGGAGATGCAAATCTGAATCTGGATGTCCTGCTGATCGATACAGCGAATCTGCAGCTGATGATACAAGAACTGACTAACCTCTGGAAGGCCTTCAAAGGAAATCTTTGCTGCATTAACATTGTCTGAAGTGTAAATGAAAGCAGTTTTTTCTTGACATAATCCCTGGATTATTAGCACAACCTGATTCAATTCTAGCATGAGAGCAGAAAGTAAAGAAAACACAAGGGACTAAGTTTCGAGTTAGTATCTGCTCCTTTTACGCAGAAAAAAAAAGCATACACACTCTGACCTTTAACACACATGTTCTCATTCTGTCAGCTGTCGGCACTGCATTCCCCTTTTCTCTTTCCTGTGATAGCTTCACATACTGTAAACATAAAGGTACTGCTGTACACTGCTCTTTTTCTGAAGAACTACAATTTGACTGACTCTAATATAAAAATGAGGATTACTCAAAATGATTGTATTTTCATTATAATTTGTGTCTTATGACACAATCTATAAAAGTCTATATGATTTTTCCACAAAAATGAACTCATTTAAAATTACACCTTTTCCTTCTCCCTAATTGAAAAATCCAGACTTTATTAATATGCATCATAAATTCTCATTTAAAATTTTTAACTTTCAGGCACAAGATGTCTCCCACTTCTCAGTGTATGCACGCCAGAGGTTTCCAGTTTCACACTTTTGAAGTTGCATATTGGATCATGATTGGCTCCAAACTAAATCAAATACAATCACACTCTTATGTACACATCCAAAACTCAGATTTAAGATGAGTTCAGAGAGACTTTCCCTCTTCAGCAGATTCATTTGCATTCACAAACAAACTTCTCAAACTCTACACATACATCATTCTGCACACTGAAGGTCAAACATCCAAGTTAAGTTACAATAAGACTTCAACATTTTATTTTTTGTCCTGATCTGTTGGTTTCTAGCACACTCAGTCGTGATGCTAAATTAGATGTTTGTACGTACAAATCGTAGTCCATGACAGATATGTGCAGGCTGACATGGTCCATACTGTCTGGCGGGATGTCAAAGATGATGGCCTCATTGTAGGTGGGATTTAGCGTGTTCTTTTTTATGGTCGTCTTCTTCTTTTTCAAGCGTCTCCCGTCACATATGAGTGACACTTTGACATAGGGATCTAATCAGTGAGAGGAAAAGAGGAAGACAATGCTGATAATTACATATCCTCAATGTGTGGATGCTCTCCTAGTTATCCATCTTATTTAGGGAACTGCCAGAGCAATAATTAGCATGAAGAGCATGCTTCTGGGATTATTAAGGGAGCGGAGCTTTTACAATGTTTGCCAAAACATCTTCAAAGATGTCCGTGAAAATACAGCCATCAATGGCCTATTTCATTATCCAGTGTGTGTTTTTTTTGGTTTCTATTTATGCATGAAGGCAACCCTGGAGGATCTGGCTTCAGTAATATGCATAAAAGTAGATAAGTCAACGTCTTTTGTAAAGATAGAGGACGATGGGCCATAGATAGCTTAACCAGCATGACTGAGAAAGCTTCCTGATGAATGCTGATTTCAATCATCATCCGTCAGTGGCAAATCACCTCATATTATTTATACTCATACATTATGCCACATTTTAGTCAGATGTAAGCTGCCCTAAATCTATAAATGACAAACAAGAGTGCTTGCTTTGCAACCCATCATGCTTGAAGGCACAATTTGGTAGTTTACGATGCACAGATTGAAATAATGGCAGACAGCTAAAATCGTGAAATGTCATTAAACATTGGAGGAAAAATGCCACATTCACTCCAAATTACACCTGAACCCTGGCATTTAATGCACAATAAATGTCACATTTTACAAGTGGTATCAGTGTTATAGCAAAACATGGAATGGGAAAGTGGAACAGCAATCTATTAAAATAAACAGACCACATGCAACTATTTGCTGACAATGTCTTAATATTGCAAGTGTTGAATATTAATAACTGCTGAAATAAGCGGAACACAGCTGAGATGGCTCTCCACTGTTTGTTCACTTTATCTAAAACGCTTACGATTGGATATTCACAGCGGGATCATTCATTTTAAGCCATTGCAGCTGTAAGTGAATCACACAAACACACACACAACACACCTGAGTATCCAGTGATGTCCATAGCCTTGAGGTTCCTGCACTTGATGACAGTAAGTGTGAGTCTGCCCGCGGTGGGCAAGTAACATAGTGAGAACATGATCTCCCCAAGGTCAACACTTTCCTGTGAGAATACAAATAAGCATAAAATCTATTTCAGTTTCATATTTACATTCAACACTGATTGACTGAGTCAGACTGATGTACAGTAAGTGTTTCATACTCAAGGTCTGTTTTTAGGATCAATGTTATATTTTATTCATAGTATGCTCTTTGTAACTGCCAGAGCCTGTAGTCAGTGAAGCAGAAGATGAACCCAAAAATGACTTTATTTAATGTACTACTGTGTTATTTGTTACCATTCTTAACTTATATCATTGTAAAAACATGGTTGTATGGTGGCCTCACATTCACACAAGTAACTAGATAATTAGAGCACATAACGGTGTATAAAATAAGTAATTTGATGAAAAATAATGCATCATCTTTGCGTTATCTGCTTGTTGTTTGGAAACTGCAGCAGCGTTTTTAGATCAGGTACAGGAGGGATGCAGGTTAGATAATGAGTTGTATTGCTGTCATTTTGTACAATAGGAAAATACACGAGGTAAACTTAAATAAGTTGTCTGACATTTTAGGAAAATGTGCTTCTTGCAGAAGAAGACTGACACCACTCTCATGTCTGTGCATTAACTATGGAGCTAGAGACAGGAGATGATTACCTTAGCTTAGCTTAGCATAGCTTAGCTTAGTGTTGGCAATAAAAGCGGGGGGGAAAACAGCAAGCCTGGCTTTGTCAAGTGGTCAATACACCAGCACCTCTAAAGGCCTTATCACACTATTAAGGGTTTTAATAAAAAGGGAAAAAGCTTCCTGAGCTAAAAAGCTTGTTGGTAGTGTAACTCTCTGCAAAAAATTGCTCCTTTGAGAAGCAGTTCATACTTTGAATTGCTTCCTCTATTTTGGACTCTCTGTTCCCTTATGGCTTTGCTCAGTTAAAGCCCAAACATGAGGTGCCACGTTGTCATCCAACTTTTGGGAAGAAAGCGAATAAGCATATTTGTGCAACAGCATTTCTTGATGACGAAATTGTAAAGTTGTAAGAACAAATATGAATCACAAATAATGTGGACTAGGAAAGTAAAAAAAATGTTTAATGTTAAATGTGCCACAGGTGTTACCACCAACAGCTTGGAGTTATTAAAGTAATTAAGTTCAAGTTCTTGAGGTTATTTAGCTGTCAGTATTTCGCTGAAATTATGACTGACCTCCCGATCAAATCTTTCATGTAGAAAAAAAAGAGAGTGCTGCACTGGGTCACAAACGATGGTACTGGTAAAACTGCAGTAAAAAAAACAGGTGCTCTTCAGGGAAAGGGTCCAGTAGTTGAATAAAAAATATCAGAACAATGACTGTCTAGTGTATTATTAGTGGAAGTTCATGGTTGGCACTCTGATTGTGAATGTTAAAAATCCTCATGAATAACCAATGCTATTAGTGCACTGCATACACGTGCAGAGGGGACGTGATGGGTGCTTGAGCACCTGCCCTTTTACCCTTTGATGCCCAAAGTGCCATTTTGTCAATGAAAAATTTAATTTATTTATTTATTTTTAAATTTGTAAAGGCCCTTTTGTGAAGGCCTGCCGAATCAAACTATTGGTAAAATGAATGAATAATAATTTCGCAGTAAATTAAAATGACCCACATTATGACCTTTCACCTGATGACCTCATCGTGACGAGCCCTCCCGTTCAGACACCTTGAGTGATTCAGCAGCACCGCTTACAGGACACCTGCGTTTCCGCCGGGTAAGAGGGGTTTGCCGCTTTTTGTGGGTTGTTGGATGTATTTTAGAAGAAAGACGCAAAGAGAGCATGCACAGTTGAAGTGTATATTACTGTGTGTCGCCTGTAGAAGTAACGTTGGCTGACGTCTAACACTATGCCGACAGCTAACATAACTTCTACAGACAGATAAACAAAGGTGCTCTGTTCACTTCATTGTTTGAGGGAGTAAAGTTTCACGGGCGTCGAAAGGAGACGTCTGATCTTTTTTATGTAATTTGACTAGAAACCTTTCACTTACAGTAACTTAATAAAAACGTAGTGTGACTTAAAATAATTATACCAACATTGGTAAAACAGGTTTAAATAATGACACTTACTCCTGCAACTTATAGCTTACTTATCAGCCCTTTTTTAAAACGATCATTTAATTCAGAACTGTATTGGAAGAGATTTAGCCTACATTTTAACTGTGTTTACAACAGCAAACCTACTATATAAACTAAATAACTGGAAATACATATATTAATGTCAGTGTCAATGTAAAATGAATAATATTCCTGTCATCAAAGTAAAGAGTGAAGAAGAAATGGCCCTATTAGATTTCAGACAAAGGTATGAAATGTTAATGTGAAAGGTAAATGCTGTCATGGTTATTATGGGCCAATAGAATGAACACACACATATTAGTTTATTTATTTAGATTTATGATTAGACATATAGTCAATCAAAATCCAAATACTGTATATCTCAGATTAACAATGCAATAAATAAATTCAATACCAAAATATTGCCTATAGACACACCCCCACACACACCTGTCTATAGATTTGTCTCACTCTTACCCCTGCCTTGGCTAACCTCGTCCTTTCTCACAGTACTGTTTCCTAGTCAGATTATTTCCCACACTTTTTTGAATCTGGTATCTTATTTCCTCTACCTGCAGCTCTCGGTGTGCAGCAGTCTCTGTGAGCATCTCCCTCTTATTTTCTCGTAGCAGTCAGCCTTGGCAGCAGCTGCAGCACTACAGCAGGTCAGTCATAGTGAGCCAGTTCCTAACACTGTCAGCAATCTTTACATTTTGTCATGGTCACATATTTGTTTAATCAGCTAATATATCTCCTATGTTTGTTATAATATATCTAGTCACAGATCACCACCAGTAGTGTCAGCAGCAACAAGAACAGCAGCAGTAACAGCAACAGCAACTGTTGCCTGTAAGTTATATCAGCCCACAGTGTTTTAAAGCAAGAGCTGGGTATTCCCTGTGTTTCTTTCTCAAAACTGTGTCACAGCATTTGCTGATGTATCAATATAGAAGCATCAGTATATGCACATCAGCAAGGAGTACATAACGATCTATTTCTGTATCGATATTTTGAGAACAGCCCTATTTAAATCCTTGTTCCATGTGCCCCTTTTATACTTTGAGCACCTGTCCTTCCAAAGGCCCTGGTACACTGGACAGTTTTTTGGGGCTTTTTATTTTTTACCGAACAGCAAATTTCAATATTCTCACTGCAATCCAAAAACACCAATTCTGATCACATTTCCAGATGATCGTCATCAAGACAGTAAATTAAAACAAAACAGAGAGGACATTACATTTCCAGCTCCGTAACGTCAACATAATGTAGTTCAATTATCCACATAATCGACGAGTGAACGAGTAAAAAAAATTTTTTTTAGGGACTTGTATCACCAAGTTCCCTCGTATAAGAATGTTTTCTATACTCTAATGTACTTCTGAGATGAAGCTTTCCAAGCACAACCAGTCCACCCACCAAAATATTAGCTTTGACTTGTATAGAAACTGTCCTGTGAGAGTCCATACTGAGCTAATGAGAGTCCTGTTATCTGCCTCATGGTGGTTCTTAGCCCCATCCTATAAACAGTATTAAGGTCACACAGACCTCTAATCTCTCTGAATGAGCTTGGTGAGAACCCCGCTGATTGGCAAATCTCAACACGTCGGACTGAGAGCTTCAGTCTTAGCATTTCTTCACACATACAGCTGCGATTTGGCTTTCTCTGCTGTGCAAGTGAGGGATTTCATTTGAAGGGTGTGAAGGTTCAGCCTAATGTGAGAGCACAGCAGAAATGTCAAGTGTTGTAAACGCATGAAGTGACATTTTGATTGTCCTTTTAGTAACACGGGCTGTTTTGGTGCTAGTCAGTATCATGTGTAGGCTACTGCATTAATCTTTTTTTTTTGCCACGGTAGCAACAAAGCTCCAGGGACAGCAATGTTATTCTGTTGATTGGTCTTTAGGTCAGTCCACCACTTTGGTCCACTCTGAAATATCTTATATAACGACTATTTGATGGATTGCCATGAAATTTTTTACAGAGGATGAAGCACACTGACCCAACCCCCTCACTTTTTCTCCAGCACCTTTTCACTTATCCAGTGAAACATCTACCAGATGGATTGGCACAACATTTTGTACAGACGTTCATGGTTTCAAGATAGTGCATCTTAATGATTTTGGTGATCCCCTGACTTTTTCTCTAGCACCACCACAAGGTTGACATTTTTGGCTTTTAGTCAAGTATCTCAACAACTATTAGATCCTTGAGGTGCATTGATATTTGGTACATGGACATTTGTGTCCCCTTCAGGACGAATTGTATTAAATGTGGTGATCCTTAAACCTTCATAGCGCCATCATCGGGACAAAATATAAATGTGTCTAATACTTTGATTGATTTTATTGTTTGCAAAATTACATTCCCATCAGCCTCAGCTGTACTTTGTGTTTAGTGCTAAATAACCAATGAGCATTTAGCATGCTAATATTAAGACAACTAAAACAGCGATCATTTGTAGTTTTGACTGGAATGTCATGCCAACTATTGGATATATTGCCAAGATGTTTGAGACAGATATTCTTGTGTCAGGATGAAGTGTAATAACTTTGCTGATCTCCTGAGTTATCCTTATGCCAGAATTTATCTCTTTCCAACACTTTAGTACTAATTTGCAAATTTTACTATGACAACACACCAAACTAAGATGGTTAACGTAAACCTTACACCTGCTAAACATCAGCATGTTAGTATTTTCACTGTGAGCATGTTAGCATGTTGACATTAGCATTTGGCTCTAGCACCGCCGTCACAGAGCTACTAGCATGGCTGTAAACTCTTACTCTGCTTTAAAAATTCTTTGTCAAGTTACTTATCAGTCCTTTACCACATGATAAATAATTCCCAGATTCACATTGAACACCATAGACTGTAAAGGTGAACACACATGAAGAATAATCTGAGTCAATAAGGCTACTGGTCTCCTCAAGACTCTTTTATCTTAGTAACGCTTGTAAGTTGGTGTTATTGATGAATATCTCACCTTGATCTACTGTATGACCCTTCCCTTCCACCCTCTGCTCAATACTGGCATCTCTTCCACTCATTAAGCTGCACAGTGTCTCTACATTACACCACTTTATGTTTGTTTTTTGTTTCTACTGAACCCCGCCATCTGTGCATTCTTTATGTTGCCAATCTTGAATTTAATGTGAGCAAGGGGTTTTGTCATAAAATCATTTGGTTGTTCAATAAAGTTTGTGTGCCAAGGAGAGGGCTGCCTGATATTCTGCCTCCTAAGCAATAACACGGGCTCAAGTTCAACAACTGGGTGGGTGCGTGGGGGTGGGGGAGCTGTCAGATATAAGGGCTCTGTGGAGGTGATCAAGTGATGAGAGCTCTAAGGTGCCACATTGACAGAAACAACACTAGCTGAAAATGGACCCCGGAAATCCTCATCAAGTAACAAAGCCAACAGAAAAATAATTGGATGAGTAAGCTATGGGTTAGAAATTTCCTTTTATGTTTGAGATAGTAACACCTCGTAACTACAACAATTACACATTATTTAGTTTCATAACAATTGTGTTTTTATAGAGTAAAAAATGCAAATATGTATCTAATTCTTAATGATGTATTTGCTACTATAAACTATTAAATAATTTTATTCCCATTACAAAGCTGTAGCCAGGATTTAATTCCCTCAATGAAAATATTGACTAGACACTAAATCCTTTTTTATTGTTTGGATTTTATATTTTTCATATTTTAAGTCACTAAATTATATTTTTATTTACATATTAATTCCCTACATGAAGATGCTGACATGCTGCATTTTCTTTACACTGAGAAGTGTAAAGAAAATGTGGCCTTAAAGTAGCAAACAAATTTGAAATTTTGGGCCCTATTTTAACAGCAAAAGCGCAAAGTGGTAAGTCTTGGTTGCATGGACTGTGTGGGCGTCTCCAAGCACACCTGCTCATGTACCTGCAGCAGTGCAAAATTCAAAAAGGCTAGTTGAACTGGAATATAGATCAGACGGTGTGGTGATTAGTAAATTCACTCTCAACAACTGCTCAACAAATGAGATTGCTCCTTGAAGCTGAGCAGACATTCTTCCTTTTCATTAATCTTGTTAGTTGTCTTAACTCACGCATATTTTAATTAGCCTTTCTGCACAGACAGAACTTTATGCTCACACTGTACCGACCAATTAACCGTCCATGACGTGAAACTCACACTCAGCGTGAGCACATGACCTTTGGTCGTGTTTTGCCCAGTGACTCCTTATTTCCTATACAGTTTTACAAACAAGACGGCTGCGTTCTCAGCAACTAAAATTAATATGGGAAATCGGACCCTGGAACTGCTCAAACTGCAAGACAGCCGACCAAAACTTCAAGAAATCCGTCTGATTGTCCAACAGCAGAACGTTGATCGTTAAGCCAATTAATCAGGCGTTGTGATCAGCTGCACGTCAAAAAAAGTGATTCTAAAATTAGTTGGAGACAACCAATTTTGGGCTAAAATCTGGCCTAACGTGTACCGTGTCTGCCCAAATTAAAGCGTGAAGATTGTAATTTATACTTCAGCTCACCAGTATATGTCAAACATAGGTCATATAAAATATAAGCATCTCTATACAATCAGTCATTTGACACTGACTGTTGAAGAAAGAGAAAAAGATAGATTCTTACACTGGTGGCATATTGGATGTCCTTCCATATGTTCGTCTCCCTGGAGAGGTCTGATGTTTCAAACAAGTTTTCCAGCACCACTTCCCCGATCATGTCATGCCGTGAAAACCGGTCAAAGTCAAAGACACTCATATGGAGCTTCCTGACTGCAAGCTCATCGTAAGGCACAGGAAACTGGAAGCTCTCGCTGAATGTGGGGTTGAGTGTCTTCCGGTGGACGCGAGTCTGGAACTTCTTGCGATCAGGCAGCAGGTAGACCTTCACGTAAGGGTCAGATGTGCCACATAAGTCCTTGGCAGGTAGGTCTACTGCCTTGAGGATGTTGACGATGAGTGCCTCGTTTTCATAGTCGTACTTCAGAGAGAAGTTAATCGTGCCACAGTTTTGGCTGCTGCCCTTCTTGGACGAATCCTCTGATTCCGGGGTCTTCTGTTGGTAGAGCTCTGGCTGGATGCGCCCTATGCTGGTGGGCTTTTCATCTCTGTCGACCATATAGTCATTTCCCAGGTCAAGACTGCCTACCTGCATCTGCCTGGGCAGGTGTCGTTTGAATGAATTGTGTCTGCAGGGACAGGAAAGACAGGAAGTAAGAAAGAGTGACAGGGAATGAATGGCTTGTGGTTTGAGTTAAAGAACTATTAGTGAAGACGAGCAAGGAAACTCCGGGCAGTTTCAAAATCGAGGGCCCAGACACACCGAACTGACCTCAAAAACTAGCACTAACAAAGACTGACTGATTGTGTCACCTCAGGTCTTCTTTTAAAGTTGAAATTAATCAAAGACAGCAGCCAACAGCTAGCTGAGTTCTTTCCTGTGTGAGAGGAAATAACTAGTGTCCTGTGGCCTGTATTTATATTGTTTATAAAAATAGGATCAAAACCCTAGAAAGCAGGCCTACTATTCTCATGCTACTGTCACTCTTGTAACATGCATGGAATGCCAATTATGAATACGTCTTAATTGACACGAGTTTTTCTTTTCTTTGCTTTGCACTGGGATTGTCTAGTCAATAAGATACAATAAGAGTTGTAGGTAAAATAAAAAGATAAAAGTCAAGTCAAGATAAAACTGCACTAAATGCACGAAATAAAAACAAAACAAAGTGACATGCCAATGAGGACCCAGGGCTGAACAACAATTTGCTGTCTCAGGTCTCTAAATGGACATTAGTTTTAGTCAAAGAACGAATAGATGTATTTTTAAAAGATATGGACTACTGATGTGCACTTATTAACATGGTGAAAACGTGCAATTCTGCTAGTATTGCTAAAGCCAATCTTTTTTTCTCCCCTCTATTCCATTAATTCTCGTGAAGAAGCCATCACATATAATTAGCCTTACCATAATGACCTGCACAGAGGTGCCTCTGGGGCAGTGAGGAACACGATCCACAGTATTTATTACAATTAACTTTGTAGATAGCAAATTGCTTAGACAGAGAATTTCTACATTCATTAGCGATATATTAAGGGTATTTTGGTGTCTTCTCTCTGAAAATATAGTGTGTATTTTTCCTATTTACACTTTTTTCTTAATTTCATGTTGGATTAATGGACCTTCTGTATCACATGATATTGTGTCTTGAACCTCTGTCTATGAGTGCATGCTTGGTTGTATGTACCCCTAAGCATATTTAGACATGAATAACCACATCGCAGTATTGTGTATTATCAGTTTTACATACACACGTGTGTATATGACTAACCGAGTGGAGGAAGCCGGCTCAGTGGTTTGCCTCTGCATGCGTTGCGTGCGGCGCAGGAAGTGCTCCCTCATGGAGAGCTGTACATCGGTGGGGATGTCGGGAGATGTACGGCTTATCTTCACTGCCGCCTCCAGGAAACCCATCGAGCCCATGGGGTCCTTCACCTTCTCTGTCGCCATGGTGACTGGTGACTGCTGGGGACTGGGCAGCAGTAGAGGCGGCTGTTGCGGGCAGTGCTCTGGGCCACAGGATGGAGTGAGGGATGGACTGGGGAAGTGTGCCTTAGTTCGCCAAGGCTCACAGCACAGCTTCCAGGAGATGAATGTAAGAAGGCCCAGCAGAGCCAGGCCACAGACCACAAACACACCGAGCAGGAGGCCAAAAGTAGCGTCTGGTGGCGAGCCGCGGGGACCAGAAACAGAGGATCACACAATATGGACAAACAGATGGTGATTACAAGGGTGAGAGGAGAGAGAGAGAGGGAGACAGTCTATTAGGACATGATTTTTCAAACGATCTCAGTAGATTTTATATAAGACTAAGGACAGCCAGCCAAGTATACTGGGAGATGTGCCTTATAAATATTAGAGTAACCTCCATTAGTCTTCAGTTCAGCCAAGGGATATGGAAAGAATATTAATGTAAGCAGAATGTGAGTATGGTATGCACTCATGCACATACACATATACACACATCATTTTCTTTGACATTAGACTCGGTAAAAGTAATTACAGTCTAACAAATGACATAAGTGATGAATATAATTTATAGGCATTTGAAAAAAAATACACCTAGGAATAGAACCAAAGTGTCAAAATCCTTCCTGTTGGATTTTTATCATGAAACAGATAAAAGGAGCCAGGCACAGTCAAACTCGTTTATTTTCCAGTATTCTGAATATGCTTCCTGGGGAACAAGCGGCATACAAAGACCTGGAGACGCACCAAGAATGCTGACAAGCACTCTGCAAGGATTCATAGAGACTGAGGGGAAAGAGAAACACAGAAAACATACAGTATCTCCGGCTTTTGCCTTTGGGACCCTTGCCAGAGTCACTGCATTCTTGATTTAAAGTAATTATATTTCACCACCAGACACTGTGAATGTTTTCCACACTTTTCAACCGTAATTTCATTTATTCTGAAATTTTTGCTCGAGTGCTCTTTTCAGCAGGCCCTGATTACTTGGACTTATGTACAATAACTCATGCTGAGGAGTGTCTCGGTGGCCTCTCAGAGCATCCCTGAACTCCCGTCTAAGCATAACACCCCGGAGATAGCAGGGAGGTGTTGCAAGGCACACTAGCTCTTTTGTAATATTTACCTGGCTCAACCTTTCCTCACTTGAACAAAAATATGAGCATCAGCAAGCGCTGAAATCTGCAGGTGAAGTTGTTGATTGGGGTACAATGTACTTATGTGAATATTCCATTATGCATGTTACTCTGTACTACTCCACTACATATCTGAGGGAAATATTGTACTTTTTATTTTACTGCATTTATCTGACAGCTATGGCTGCCAGTTATTTTACAGATAAGAAAAATAATAAATGTAATTTAAAATAATACAATTAAATAAAAACATATGATAAGCTTTCAAAAAAAGTGTATAATTGAGGCCTAAATTGATGTCTATGACATGTTTGTAGTTCCACCAAAGAGACATTTCCCCTCTACACTTCTCAGATTGTGTTCTCAGCAAGGTTTAACTATGTTATATACTCTTAGGTAGTTTAATCTGTAGCAATGCATCATATTTTATAAAGTCAACACATGTATTGTGTATAAAAGTAACTATAGCTATCTGATCTAGTTCTGAGATGTAGTGGAGTTGAAGTATAAACTAAAATCCACCACTGGTCTTTGATGTCAAATTGTATAAAATTTCAAAATACCTCAGTTGCATGAATAGTAAAATGACACACTAAATATTGTATGTTTAAACTATCCTTAGATGACCAAAAGGCTATAAAAAAATGTTAAAAAAAAGAGAACATTTTCTACTTTTTTGCACAAATTAAGAACTGTCAGGTTCAAAATTTTAACTTAATGGAGTGTCCACAAAGCCAGATTTATAGCTTAGCCAAGCGGTGGACAGGATTTCAAGTCTGGAGGATTTATGCCTGAGGAGGATTTCTCAGCTGTCCACAGCCCTGGCCTCTCCATGTCATTTGAAATTTCACACAGCTCTCCACAAAGCTTCGTCTTGACTGGACTGTCGCTCGCAGAGTCTTCAGTCGCCATCACAGCAAATTGAAGCAGACCATGCACTGCACTGAAATACGAACGCCCTGTGGTGACATCTTCTGCTGCAAAATGCGTTGACATGTCATAAATGTGTATTTGAGTATGTAACTTGTTTTACTTTTTCCACTACAGCAGCGGCCTTCAAAGTGAAGTATCCACTGAAGGTTTTTTTTTTTTTAAGTCTGACACTGTGGGGCCACACCAGACAACATTGAGAAAGTCCCATACCCCAAATGTCCATGGGACATTCTGAGGCTGAAAAAAGTACATGTATAGTGTAACATCAAACAAATTTATATTAATGGGTTTTGTCAAATATTTCATTCTTCTTTGTACTTTGATTTGGTAGGTACTACTTTTTAGTCTATATTTGTTTACATTATCGCAAACTGGCACCATTAAAACTAGAACCTGAACTAAACTAAATTAGCCATTAGCAGTTGCTGTTTGCAATGTGTCCATGGATGTAAACGAACTATCACTGGATTACTTTAATACTAAATCCATGTTTAAATGTTTTAAATGTGATATGCTTTTTACTATGTCACCACTATGGCAGTATCTGGCCCATCAATGACAAAAAATGTGTTTTGTAGGTATTATTTAAAAGTTTGTAATTTGGAAAAGCATTTTAAAATGTTGATGACTCATTCTGAATCTGCACTTGTTGTATTAATTTAGCATCCAATCAAAAGATTCTCAATATAATGCTACTGAAGCATAGTGTTTTTGGGACCAGGCACCACAGTTATTGGTGAAACTGGATCATATTTGATGGAGAAATATTAGAAATATGGAGAAAATATTTTCTAGTTTTCTCTCTGATGTCCCCCCGCTGCTCTGCCTCAACTCTGTGATTCACAGTTTCCTGATGGACACACAACTAACTTTAGCAACAATTAAAGATAAAACTGTACAACTGTAAAGGTGTTTACACCGTTATTCAAGCACTGGAACTTTTCAGGACAGGGGCTTCTTGATGGATAGCTTTAGTCTTTGCTAAACCGCTAACTGTAGTCTATCGGCCTGTCTCTATGGCTAGTTAATGTTAGCTTGATCGGTTAACGTTAGCTGTGCTGCTAGCTGTTCTATTAGCTCACTCAGCCCCGGGGCGCCATGAGCCAAACCCGGTTTTCTGTCGATTTATGCTAAATATTGAGATGTGCTACTTAGCAGTTCTGCACATACGCATGACCCATGGTCTGTTTCCACGGCCATAAATCTGTGCAACCTTGCTGTTGGGCATGCTGTCAAAACAATGGTTGATTTATCTGCAATATCAAAAAAATCAGAATACGCTAACGCTGATATCTTAAATAAAGATGGCATATTCTTGTATTTCAACATGCTCCCCATCTCCTTACAGTACACATGGAGTGAGTAGTGGTGCCATATAAAATGATTCTTTAGTGAGAGCATTATTTGATAGGTAAGAATACGCTACCCCTGAAAGAATGTTATAATATAATCAAAATACAGAAGATGTCATAATACTTTGAGAGTTATACCTTTATGGGATTGGAAATGGGAACACATACGGTAGCATTTTTCGATAGGGCAAAGCGACTCGATAGACTCTGCTATTGATTTGAGCAAGAAAACGGCTGAAACAAACAGTACAGACAATCTGTGACTGCACAGTATGAATTGTTTCAATTGTTTTCTTTGCCCCACACTGATGCAGAAATACATTTGATTATCATACTGCATTATTATATTGAAATAAATCCATGTCAGAAACATTTAAACTTTTAAGTATAGTAGCCTCATTAATGTCTGTTATTATCACACACATCAGTGACATGAAAACTGAAGAGATTTAAGATATGCTACTATTGTCATTATTTAAATGTGCTTCATCAGGATGATTGAATCAAATATTGATTTATTGATTAGACATGTTTTTGATATTTATTTTGGATAAATTGGTATGTTAATCGAGAATTGGCAACTTTTCTTTCTTTAGAATAGGAAAAATTTGTTGTTAGATTAATCGACTAATTGAAGAAAATTATAATTAATTAATCGACTTGAAAATTAATCGTTAATTACAGCCCTAATTTACTTACATTCACTTACTTACTTACGATGGTTTCTCTGATACTTACTGCACCTGGATCGGAATCATGCACCTGTCACCAGTTTATGTCCATGTGATAAGGAAAAGTGTTAACGCTGAAATGCGGCCAACTTCTCAGTATTAGCTTCTAGTGTTTTTAGAATATGAGACATACTGTAGGCAGAAAGCTGATGATGCAGTGATAGTGAGAGAGCACAGAGAGAGCCTGCCATGAACGTTAGAGAAATAGAGAGTGATGGAAAAGCCATTGTTCTTCCTCTCCAGACAGATGGGTAATGAAGCAGAGCAGTTTGAACATATAACTCCGTCCGGACACAACCTCCCCTGACAGCATGAGACTAGACTGACCTCAGGGTTTAGCGCACTATTAATGATCACACCCACACCATAGAGGAGTGGAATATCAAATATCATTTTCCTGCAGTCAATCAAAAGGGTCTTTTCGGATCCTTTAATGTTGAACACACCTTTCATAATCAATACTTCAGACGCTGAATCAATCTCGCCACGAATCTCCTTCAGCTCAGTTTTAGGGCAGGTGTAAAGGGCAAGGAAGAGGGGCACCACTTTGTGAAAGACAGGTATTTCATTTTTTAAAAACTAAACTTTCAGGTATTATTCTCTGAGCTGGGTTACTTGCGTGAACGCAGTGACAGCTCCAGCTCTAAAACCGTTGTGGCATGCTTACCCTTTTCCCACAAGCTGAACCACATCGAGCTCTGCAGTAAGCAACCGGTGGCTGCTCTCCCCGCTGCCACTTTGCATGTTTCAGTAAGATCTATGTTTGATTCACCGTTGGACTTCATGAGTGAGTTTCTTATTCATGCACCAACAAGGCTTGGCTAGATATTATCAGGTGTTTCTAAGGATGCACAAATTTAATCAAGGTTTGTTTTGAAGTAGAGTCAGAGAGCAAAGTGAAGCCTTAGGGCTTTTCTGTCGTTCTTTTTTTTTTCTTCAAGCGCTTTCAAATCTAACCTGGTTTCCATAGTAACCCAGTCATTAGAGAGAATATGCGCTTTCTCTGCTGTTACAAATTGACTCATCTTCAGCAGGAAAAGTC